TCGCGGACTTGGTCCTGCGCTACAAGGGCCATGCCAAACGAGTTCAACTGGCCGTCACCCATCTTGGCAAGCAAGACCTCATCCTGGGGTATTCCTGGTTGCGGAAACATAACCCAGAGATCAATTGGGAAACCAAGGAGGTCAAGATGACACGGTGCCCCCACAATTGCTCGACCTGCCGTGAGGAAGAGCGCGTCGAACGGACCGAGCTGCGGCGACTCCGGTCGCTTCAGAAGCGTCTCCGCTCCGGCCCGTTCCCCTCGGTTTGCACTATGGACCTCTCTGGCCCTGAGGACGGAGACGATTCCGATTCCGGTCTCGATTCCGACCTGCCTGATCTGACGCCGGACTCGGACTCGGATGACGAAGATGACCAGCTCGAAGATGGTGACCGCATCTTCTATACCTCGTTCCGTCCCTCAGAGGAGATACGCGCAGGTAGCACCGTCTCACAGCGTCTGGCCGAAGCCTTCGCCAAGAACTCCGCCCCACCGCCCTCCGAGATCCCGGACTGGGCTAAGGAGTTCCAGGACGTCTTCAACAAGGAGTCCTTCGACACGCTACCGGAGCGGAGAGCCTGGGACCACGCCATTGAGCTTGTCCCCGACGCTAAGCCCACCAACTGCAAGGTGTACCCCATCTCGCCCCTCGAGCAACGCGAGCTCGGCGCGTTCATCGAGGAAGGGCTTTCGACGGGCCGGATTCGCCCCCCAAGTCTCCGATGGTGTCTCCGGTCTTCTTCGTCAAGAAGAAGGACGGCGGACTCCGCTTCGTCCAGGACTACCGTGCTCTCAACGCGATGACTGTCAAAAACCGGTACCCCCTTCCGCTGATCAACGACCTCATCAACCGGCTCAAAGGCGCTCGTTACTTCACCAAACTCGGCGTCCGTTGGGGCTTCAACAACGTCCGGATCAAGGAAGGTGACGAGTGGAAAGCGGCTTTCCGGACTAACCGAGGCCTGTTTGAGCCCTTGGTGATGTATTTCGGCCTGACAAACTCTCCCGCGACATTCCAAACGATGATGAATGACATTTTCCAGGATCTCATCCTCTCCGGAGACGTCATGATCTACCTTGACGACATCCTGATCGCCCATTCCGACCTCCGGAAACACCGGCAGATTGTCCAGGAGGTCTTACAGCGACTCCGGGAGCACAAGTTGTACCTTCGAGCGGAGAAGTGCGACTTTGAAAAATCGTCAATCGAGTACCTCGGAGTCATCATCTCCCACAACCACGTCGAAATGGACCCGTCAAGGTCGCAGGCGTCTCCGCTTGGCCGACTCCGGACAACAAGAAGGATGTTCAGCAGTTCCTTGGGTTCGCTAATTTCTACCGCAGGTTCATTCGGGACTTCTCGGCCCTCGCGCCCTCTCTTTGCGCTCACCAAGAAGGACCAGCAATGGACTTGGGGCGATGCGGAGGCCTCCGCGTTCCAAGCGATCAAGGACGCGGTCACCTCGGAACCAGTCCTGGCGATTCCGGACGACGCCACGGCCTTTCCGACTCGAGGCGGACAGCTCTGATTATGCGACGGGGGCGGTTCTTTCACAATCCGCCCCGGACGGGAAGTGGCACCCTGTAGCATTCTATTCCAAAAGCTTAAATGATATCCAGCGCAACTCACGAAATCCACGACAAGGAGATGCTCGCGATCATCCGCGCACTCGAGGAGTATAGACACTTCCTCGAGGGCGCCGCACACCCTGTCGAGATTTGGACTGACCATAAGAATTTGGAGTACTTCAGGAAGACGCAGCACCTCAACCGGAGACAGGCCTGGTGGTCCCTGTACCTCTCCCGGTTCGACTTCACGCTGCACCACAAGCCTGGCCGCGATATGGGTCGGCCTGACGCCCTCTCCCGGAGACCCGACCACGGAGTCGATTCCGACAACTCCGATGTCGTCCTTCTGCGGCCTGAACTCTTCCACGTCCGCGCACTCGAGGGCGTTTCCGTTTCCGGTCCCGGCTCTGAACTCCTCCGCGACATCCGTGATGCCCTCTCCGGTGAGCCTGACCTGGAGGAGCCCGTCGCACTAGCAGCCCGGCAACTTCTTAAGGTTCAAGGTCAAGCTCGAGGCCCCCGCTCCTCACGTTCTGACGAGTGGGCCGTCTCCGGCGGTCTTCTCCATTTCCGAGGAAAGATCGTCGTACCAAAGGACAAGGACCTCCGGAGACGCATCATTGAGCTCTGCCATGACACCCGAGTCGCCGGACACGCAGGTCGTTTCAAGACCCTGGAGTTGGTCTCCCGGAACTACTGGTGGCCTCAGATGTCTCGCCATATCGGCCGGTATGTTGCGACCTGTGACTTGTGCTGTCGCACCAAGGCACTCCGGAGACTGCCCCACGGAGAACTGCACCCCACGGAAACGCCCCGAACGCTGGCATACCGTCTCCGTCGACTTCATCGTAGAGCTTCCCGAAGCCCATGGGTACGACGCGATCATGGTCGTCGTCGACACCCTCGGAAAGCGCGCCCACTTCTCAGAGTGTCATACGACGGTCGATGCAGTAGGGGCAGCCCGCCTCTACTACCGGAATGTCTGGCGGCACCATGGGACTCCGGAGAAGTACGTCTCCGACCGCGGCTCGCAGTTCATCGCGGACTTCACCCGAGAACTTTGGCGTCTAATTGGCATCAAGCCCGCCACGTCCACCGCATACCACCCGCAGACAGACGGTCAGACAGAGCGCGTCAACCAGGAGCTGGAGCAGTACTTGCGGATCTTCACCAACTACCAGCAGGACGACTGGGATGAGCTGATTCCGGCCGCGGGAGTTCGCCTACAACAACCATGTTCACTCCTCCACGCAGCAGGTCCCCTTCATGACGGACACGGGATGGCTCCCGCATGGGCTTCGAACCCGGAGTCCGTTCCGCCATGGAGTCAGTGAACGAGTTCCGTGACCGGATCGCCACCGGTGTTGCTGAAGCCAAGGCCGCTCACTAAGGCCAAAGAGGAGTACAAGCGCTACTACGACCGGAGACGGACTCCGTCTCCGGAGTTTAAGGTTGGCGACCGTGTTTGGCTGGATGCCTCTGACATCAGGACGACGCGCCCCTCGGAAAAGTTCTCCCATCGCCGCCTCGGACCGTTCAAGATAGTCGCGGAGATCAGCAAAGGTGCCTACAAGCTCGACCTCCCTCTGCGCTACTCGAAGCTCTACCCGGTCTTCCCCGTCGTCAAGCTCGAGCTCGCCCAGGACGACCCCTTCGACGGACGCCCCGGCTACGACCAGCCCCCTCCGGACCTCGAGGACGGAGTTCCGGAGTGGGAAGTAGAGGAAATCCTGGACGCAAGGGTGAGGTATAAACGGCTGAACTACTTCGTCAGATGGAAAGGCTATGACGCATCGCACGACCAATGGGTCCGCTTCGACCGCGTCTTCGCCCGGAGAAAATTGCGGAGTTCTATCGTAAGTACCCTGGCAAGCCACGACACATCGCCTCTGCGACCTTCGACTCGATTCCGTTCCGGTCTATGCGTCGGGACGCCGCATTCAAAGGGGGGTGATGTCAGGGGAACCTCCCTTTCGGCCCCTCGGAGACGCCTCCGATTCCGGTCCGACTCGGTTCCGTCTCCGGTCCGGCCCTCCATCTCGCCCGCACAATCACCGATCCGTCAACGCCCTCCCGACGGTCGCCCTGGGACCTCGCCTGCGACGCCGCCCAAGCCTTCTGTGCCCGACAGCGGCAGCTACGGACAAGCAGTATATAGTCAGCTACCTAGCAGGCGGACCCTTAGAGTTTCTTCTCTTTGGATCCTCCCCTGCTAGGTCAGCTTCATTTGTATTCGCTTACCAATGTTCACGCTTTGGATCCTCCCCTGCTAGGACCTTGATCTCAGGCCTCCGGGGTTGCCCTTACACTGACATCCTCATTTCATAGGCGCTACAGAGGCTCAGGTCTGCGCAGACCTGGATCGTCAAGACGAAGAACAGTGTCAGGGGAACCTCCCTTTCGGCCCCTCAGAGACGACTCCAATTCTGGTCTGATTTCGATGGCATCTCCGGTCCGCCCTACATCTCGCCCGCACAATCACTGATCCATCAACACCCTCCTGACAGTCGCCCTGGGACCTCACCTGTGACACCGCCCAGGCCTTCTGTGCCCGACAGCAGCAGCTACAGATAAGCAGTAGATAGTCAGCTACCTAGCAGGCAGACCCTTAGAGTTTCTTCTCTTTGATTCTTCCCTGCTAGGTCATTTGTATTCACTTACCAATGTTCATGCTTTGGATCCTCCCCTGCTAGACCCTGATCTCAGGCCTCCGGGGTTGCCCTTGCAATTTGTCACAGAAGAGTCCTGCTCTAAGATATCTTCCCCCAGTGTGTTTTGTATGCTGTTTGCCTTATATATCCAACTCAATATCAGCATCAACATCTGATAATATAACCAACCATCTTATGTCTTTCTTATCCTATCTTCAAGTTGGACCAAAATCAAGGGTTTCAAGAAGAAATTTATTTTGATAATCTAGGTTCGATGTAAATTGCTGTCCTATTTTTATCAGGCTGAAGAAGTATTCTCTGCTAACTTGGACTTGGCAATCCACCTCTACCTGTACTGCCTCAATGATTTGATTGCATGTAATAAAAGATTATTGAGTGTTAGTAAGTTACTTTCAGTTCAAGTTATGATCTAAGCATGGCACAAATTGTTTGTCTTTAAACCATGGTGCTCACTGCTCCGAAGCCAGAGTCAGGGCAAGGCCCCAGTTGTACCAAGTTATTCCTTTTATATATTTCCCGTGTTACTTTACTGATTCTTCCTCTAAAACATTGTTTTATTCTCTGAATCACAAATAGTAGCCTACATCAGTAGCAAGGTTACTTTTCTTTTCTTTCTCCGGGCAGCTAAAGTATATATAGCCACCCATATAAAGCATCCACGAAGTCGAAAACGATGCAGTTAGTGTAATAGATTAATGCTGATTACTTGCTATGTACTTCTCTTGCTGCCAAATCAAAAGTCTATACACTTAACACTTCTTTACAGCCTCGCCTGCACCTGTCCCTTTATCCTCTCCTCATAAGCCGCCTGCAGCTCCCTCCTCAGCGTCTTCCCCGTGGGCGTCTTCGGAATCCGCTGCACCACCTCGATGCCCCCGCGGAGCCACTTATACCGGCTCAGCTGGCCCTCGTGCCACGTGACGAGCGCCCTGATAGCCTCGCGCTCGCCCATTGCGCGGCCCGTGGCGCTCAGAACCACCCACGCATGCGGCACCTTCTCGTCGGCCGTGCGCCCGCCCGAGACGCCCGCGACGGACACGTCGGTTACGAGCTTGTCCGGATGCGCAAGCAGCACATCCTCGATCTCCTTCGGCGACACCTGGATGCCCGACACCTTGAGTGTGTCCTTCCCGCGGTCCGCAAAGCTGCCGCCACGATCAGGGCCAAGAAGACAACAAAAAGGAAGCCACGCACAAGAAGAACCCCTCCTCGTCCATCCTGAATTGGTCGCCCGTCCTGAGCCAGCCGTCGACGAAGGTGGAGGCATTGGCGCTGGGGTTGTTCCAGTACCCGAGACAAATGCTCGGGCCACGCAGCCAGAGCTCGCCGACCTCGTTGACTGCGGCGTCGCTCTTGCCATCCTCAAGCACGAGCCGGGCGTCGATGCCCGGTAAAAGCATGCCCTGGCTGCCGACGGGTGTGCCTTTGTTACCGAATAACCCCGGCGGCACGCGGCATGTCGCGGCGAGCGTCTGTGCTTACATCAGTCGAGATTTAAAGGTTATAGAATATACTGACGCCCTCAGAAAGGCCGTAGCCCTGATGCAGGTCGGCGCCTTTCTGCATGTGTGCAAGCAGCTTGTCGCTGAGCGCAGGCGGGAGGTAGGCCGCGCCACTGTTGACGAACACGACCGAGGACATGTCCGTCTTGAGGAAGTCTGGGTGGTTGACAAGTTGGTGGATCAGCGATGGCACGAGTGTCAGATGTGTCGCTTTGTATCTTAAACCACATCTATCAGCAGTGTTAATTTCAGGCGGAAAGGCAGACATACTTGACGACACAGTTGAGATACTTCACCGGGTCCCACTTCTCGAGGAAAATGACGGTTGCGGGCATCAGCGTCGAGCGGAGGACGTAGACGTGCAGGCCATATGAGTGGAACATCGGCAGCGTCCCGATACCTATCACGTGCGTCGCGCCACCAGGCGTTGGCGGGTTAAACGGCGTCGTCGTCTGGCTGACCACGATCGCCTGAAACGCGGACGCGTATAGGTTACCGTGCGAGATCATCACCGCTATACCACCCTTAGCAGCAGCTCTGCGTAAGGAGAAGAAGGGGACGCACCCTTGGGCAGCCCGCTCGTGCCACTTGACATAATGAGGTACGCCAGTGTGTCCTTCGTGGCCGGCCGCACACTCTCCATCTTCGCCCCGCTCTTCTTTACCTTATCGACCATCCCCGCGAAGCTCTGCATGCCATGCGGCGCGGCACCCGCCAAGATGTAGACTTTGTCGGGAGTGAGCTTGACTTGTGGGTCATCGAGCGCGGCGAGGACGTTCTTGAGAAGTTTTGCGTCGACAAAGAGGCGCGTGGCCTTGGTCAGCTTGAGGGCATGGACGAGCTCGCGCTGGGTGGAGTAGGATGAGATGAGCGCAAATGGGACGGTCAGGGAAAGCAAGCCAAGGGTCATGTCGTAGTATTCCTAGATTCTCACTTTTCAGCAGTTGCATCGCGGTACAGCGGATGGGGGGGACACACGAAGCTGTTATTCCCGACCAAACCAATAACCTCCCCCGCGCCAGGCTGCAGTCCCAAGCCGGCGGGACCCAGCGCCGTCGCTGCGAGGGCGAGTGCGTGGGGCGCCTCGCTGAACATCCGCTTCTTCCCGCTCTTGTCGTCGACCTGGAAGACGTAGTCGGGCCATGCCGCCTGTCGATGATGTGAGCGGAAGAAAGAAAGAACGACGTGTGACAGACCTGGTCTGGGCGGCCGAACATCAGCGAGAAGATGTTGACGTCGGGCGTCGGCGGGAGCGGCGGGAAGCGCGACTTGATCACAGACATGTTTTGCGTGCTTGTCGTTTCAATTTGTGTGTGTGTGGTGTTGGTGGGGGGAGGGGAAGGGGGAAAGAAGGAGAAACGGGGAAGCGAGCAGGGGAAAAGTGGAAATAGGACGCGTCTATCTTAGGCTTTCAGGTTCTTTGGCCTATCGGTGGCCGATCCCACCCCGAGCCCCCAATTTTATGCCATCCTAATGGCCGTTTCCTGGCGGCGCCACTGCGGGGTCAGGGTCGGGCATGCCCGAGTTTCTGCAGCTGTGGCCGGGCTGGCCTCGGAGTGCGCTTATCATCGCAATCTATAGCTGCTCCATCCGCTATCTGCGCAGATCTTGTGCGGGGGAGCGGCATTGACAGGGCCTCCGCTCGCATGCTACTGTTCTGGGTAAGTAGACCGAGCACCTTGAACGTCCCTCCTCGCCGCGGCCAAAAGGCTCCACACAACACATTTGGGATCTGTCGCTTCCCGCAGGCACACCCCGCTCCCAGCGCCCGCAAATCAGTAATACACGTCCCGTCGTAAGTACGTACACACAACATCCCGCCATCCAATCACCAACGCTATCAACCCACTCCTCGAGCTCGGGGATATCAATCGCGGCCCGACCCCGAGTGCTGCCCCTGCCCGGGGCCGACCCCGGGCCCGTGATGGGGCGCCCTACTTGCTTCAATACAGCGTGTGCGGTATGGCTATCACTGACTTCGCGAGGGTCACCGCATTTGACTTGGCAACCCGGAAAGCGCAAACCACTCCCGCAAAAGGCGACACCCCGCGTGCCGACCCAACGCCGCGTTCAAAAAAAATCTACGACCTGATCCTGATCGTTGTTGACACAGTTGTGACGTCAGCCATCGCGTCGCGCTGCTGCATCGATATCACCAACAAAAGAAGTTCACGTATATGAATTCCGATTGAAGAAGGCGACCAGAAGTGTGTCCCGTGCATATGTACTTAGTGAGATCTTATCATTTGAAACAGTCACTGGGACTACTAGTAGGTGACTTAGTGGGACTAGGTGACTTAGTGTCGTGGAGCTGCCCGGTGCTCAAATTTGGGACCAGATGGTTTAATACTAATCATAGCATTGAGGAAAAAGAGAATAAAAGACTCCGATGAGGTCAGGAAATTCACCTAACCACAGTGTACTAAGTTATTACTGACCCATTTCGATCAATTCAGCGGGACTGTGACCCGTGACCATTTGGCCGAAATGTCCAATTCGGCCGCAGGCCGAATTTCGCGTGACCTACTACCCGATTAGGAAGTTCGGCGCGCCGCAGGCGCCGAAAATTTGAAAATCTTCCCGATTGGGACAGTTTGGGACCAAAAGATTTGGCTGTGACCTGTGACCCGCCGAAATATTTCGGCCAAAAAATCCGATGTGACCGTGACCCGCCTAATTGAATGAAATAGGTCAGTACTCTTATATTAAGCAGATGTCGTGTGAATGTATGCACATGTTTGACATTGGCTTTAACAATTGATTTACTCCATATTTCCACTTTTGGGTTCACTGCTGTTGAAACCCTAATTTGGTAAGAAAAGTTGTAAAGAGTCTAATTGGGTGTCAGGGAATGAGGGTCCAGGTGCCTAGTTGAGACCAAAGCCAGGGGAACAGCCCCACGGCCAACTACTTAAGTACAGGGCTATCTGCGCACGGACCAGTCATGTGATCGGTCACAGCCGTCACATCACATGCTCCCCTTACACCAACCCCTTCTCAAGATCCGTCGCCTCGATGGATAGGCGGAGTGTAGGGTTCTGCGAACTCGTATTCGGGGTCGCCAGGGAAATAGAGGTTGTCGCCTATAACACGCGATGATTGCGCAGGTACGCCCCCCTCGTTGGGCCGTCTGTCAATTGCGCTGCCGACCGTGCGCTACCACGTCAATCTGCATGGGAGTGGAAGCCACACTGGTATCCATCTGCATGGGAGAGGCGCCTTGGGTATGCGAGACTCGGGTAAACGTCGACGGAGTTCCCATAGCCACCGAGGGTGCGAAGGGAGTAGGATTAGGCTGGGGGGGTAGGGAGAGTGGAAGCCGCGGCCCGTATAGGTTGGGTAGTGGCGGCGGCGGGCTGACGGGGTAGGGTAGACGGGAAGAGGGGAGAAGACAGTTGCGAATGCCCAGCTGGCCCGCCGGCGGCAGTCGAAGCCCTCGGGTGAGTGGCAGGACGTGCGGCAGTGGGGGCGCGGGCACCTGAGACTGGCCACGGGGCACAGTGGACATTCCTAGGGTATACCCTAGGGTAGGAAATAAATATATTATTTCCCTGTAAGGGGAGCATGTGATGTGACGGCTGTGACCGATCACGTGACTGGTCCGTGCGCAGATAGCCCTGTACTTAAGTAGTTGGCCGTGGGGCTGTTCCCCTGGCTTTGGTATCAACTAGGCACCTGGACCCTCATCCCCTGACAGCATACCAAAGCCTCTACATCGACTCTGGCACTCTTCTAGCCCCAGTTGATCCTCTCTATCTCCTATATTCGTCCTCACCCTACTGTGCTTGCCTGCTCTTTCCCAATGACGACTCCCGGCGTCCCTGTTGACTTGTATTCGTACTGCCTGCTCCTGCAGAGCGAAATTGCGTCCTGGCCTGCTTCCTGATGGGACGACATATCAGTCTTTTTACTACCCCGATGATCACCCTATGATGGCTGGGTGGTTTAAGGGAATGGAGACAATAATCCGGGAGCGAGGACAGTGGCCAGCCAGTGGGCTGCGTGCTGAATGTCCTGGCTTCAAATGTGTGGCTGGGGCAACAAACTGTTGTTGCCGTCGTCTTCTATTCAACGCGCCAGACTTCGTCTCACAAAAATCAGCACTTCAAGAACTTGTTGAATCCCGTGGTCACATCTGCGACTTCTACCCTAAGTATCATTGCAAGCTAAACTTCATAGAAATGTATTGGGGAGCCGCCAAATTACTCTATCGAAAAACAGCACGCACACACGGGATTGACAAGATGGAAGCCAATGTCATCAAATGCCTCGATGAAGTCCCCCCGCCTCAGTATTCTATGGTATGAGTTGTTTATCTGGGTCTTATTTGTGTTCTTAACACTCTTTAGATTTGCAAACCGTGCTACTCGCTTCATCTCTGTGTATGCGGGCGGTCTGACTGGTGCCGACATCGGCTATCTCAAGAACAAATATCGTGGTCGTCGTGTTTTACCCCAAGGGACCCTCCAGGAGATAAAAAATGCGTTGGGAATCAGCTAGATAGCTTCCGTGTACTTAAAGAACATATATTTTGCGAAAATTACGCCTACAAGTACTTCGTAGAATTTTAGAATCTAAGATTTGAAACGTGACATTACGATCAGTCACGTCTTAGTAAGGGTGCGGGTTCCCACGCCCTCTATCTTATGGGTATGGGTTTTACTGATGGGTACTATCAATTCTAAACCCTAAAAGACTTATATATTGGCTACGTTAACTCAATTTTATCCTATCTGTCCTCTAACTCAGGCTTATCCTTACATCCTCTTTATATAAATGACTTATTACTAGTAGATGATATATGATCAATTTATATGATATATCTTATCTGATCTACCCATGGGTCATGTACCCATGGGTTGGTGGGTGGGGAATTCGCAATCTATACCCATACCCATGCGAGTAAAACCCATGTACCCATGCAGGTATGCCTTACCCATGCTATTGCCTAGATCCAATCAGCTGGCCACATTTGGCGCTGCTTTTCCTACAAAAAAGTCCTGCTTTGGGCCCCCCGTTTCTACGCAAATCCACGGTGTGTCGATCAATCACCTCTTGCAAAGTGCTTAGCTGGTTTAAACTATAAGGAGATCCGTCAATCACCCATCACCGTATGTCATTGCATGTGACCGTGACACCACGCGTTTTTCTTCTCTCTCTCATGACCCACCCCGCGTTACAACGCTCTGCGCTCGCCAACCTTCCACTGCTTTGGAAGGTGAGTCATGTGCGCATAGCCAGTCTCGCACTCATTGATTGTAGCACATTTGTTATGGCCTGGTCGATGGTACACGCGGCGACCCTGCGAGCGACATTGCTCGCGTGTCGGCTGCCATCAGCAGCGGCGGGCCCCTTGGACGCCCAGCATGGCGCGTGTACCTCCTCCCCGCTTTCTACGCAGTGCTCGACCCAGCAGACATCGACACACTTTCCGTCTCGCGGCTCGAGAAAAACGAACGCGAGGCGATTCTGCGCATCACGGGACGCGTCGGGCTCGCGCTGAGCACGCTCGGGCTACTCTCTGACGCCATCCCCCCGGGCGCACTGCCGCCGCTCCTCGCCCGGGTGTGGGCGTGGATTTCGTTCCTCAGCGCGCACGCCGCGCAGCTCCCAATGGCCGAGCGGGTACGCGCGACAGGCACCGCGGGGCACGTGACGCTTTTGGTAGCGCTCTATCAGGCTGCGGACGACCGCGGGCGAGCGGCGATGCTGCGCCTGCCGGGGCTGTATGAGGTCGTCGGGCGGGCGTGGCGAGAGGTAGTGGCCCGTAACGATGGGGAGGCCCTGGAAGCAACAAGTTTGCTTATCGACGACCTCTTCAAGGCCGGTCCGGATGGATGCATCCCCGACACAAACGGCGATTGGGCCTCTTTCATCTCTGCGGCAGGCGGAAGCGAGCAGGGGCTCGCACAACTCACTGCCCGGCACCTGCGGATGGTATTCCCGCCCGGCACGGAGGGTGTGCGACGCGCACCGGGCGAATCGGCCTCCGATGCGTTAATGAACGCAATTCGTAAGACTGTCTGCGCCCGCGATGTACTTGGCCGCGTCTTCGGCTTCCTCCGGCCCGCCAACATCCCGAAGGACGATACCCACCGGGCCGCACGCCCGTTCTCTGCTGAGTTCGCCGCGCACGGCGGGGTGACGGCGCTCACCCGCGCGTGTCTTGCGTTGGCGCTGGCCCCACAGACCCCGGAGGGCGACAGTGTGCTCAACGGCCTGTTCAGTGTCCTTAACCGGTGTCTCTTCACCGTACCACACCTGAAATACGTCGTCAAGGCCATCAACGCTGGCTTACTCCGTGTTGTCGTGCTCGCTGGACGTCTGGGAAAGCGCGACGAGGTTCTCCTAGACCAGGCCCGCAGCTATTTACGCGACTACCTCCCGCCATACTGCGTATTCTACTCGGTCTTATGCGCCCTTGTCGACGCGCTGCGTACACTGGGTCCACTTAACGCCGTTCAGGCCTCCCTCCCGCGCGAGCTCCATCAGCACTGGAACGGTTTCATGGGCATGCTCCAGCCCCGCATTCGACTCGCATTGGACTTCAAGTTTGGGAAAGACGCACCTCTGCTTGTGTGCCACAACATTGGGGAAAGCGCATCCCTGAAATCTGCTGCGTTGGCTGATGTATTTGTAGTGTCGCAAAATAGCAGCTAAGAGCGAATTCAAGGCGTGCGCCGCATGCCGAAGCGTCTACTGCTCGTACGCCTGTCAAAAGGAGGATTACCGCGAATACGGCCACCGGGAGCTGTGTGCCGAGGTAGCCGTCAACAAAGAGGGTGGGTGTTTTCCCCTCACCCTGCTTCCGTTTTCTCATGAGTAGAGGGTCGCCGCCGCTACTCCACCAAAAACCTCTCCTTCCTGCGACTGCTGCTCAACAAGGAATACGCCCAGGCCCAAGAGCGTCTGTCGTTGCGGACCGTCGCGTGTCTCCACGATGATGCGATGATCCCGTCCCTCGTCTTCGACTTCACGACGGACGACTGGGGCGCCGACACGTACGGCGCATGTCATATCACGCTGCAGCCCACGGACGTTTGGGCCGGCGCGTGGCAGGCCGGCCCACCGGCGGCAAGGGACAACCGCGGGGAGTTTATGGCTGGGCGGACGCAGTTGCACGTGGCGCGGGTCGGCGCAGGCACGACGTTTGCGCAGCTCAGCATGCCGTGCATCGGCCCGGGCGAGGGGTTCCTTCGCGCGCTCTGGCGCCTCGTCGAGTCGGGCCGTGTTCCCCGTATCCCGTCCAGCCCGGCACATATCGCGCTTGTGCAGAAGGCTATTGAGGAGCAGGGTGCCCTGGTTCATTTCTAAATCCATCATAGAATACGCTTGGTTCCAATTTTTTACCTTTCATGGGAGACTTCAAATTGGTCAAACTTGAATGTCAGTACGTGAATGCTGAACTCTGGTTAACAATCTTTGCCAGCAAAAACTTGAAACATTTGCTAACACACTGTAAAATGGTATCTTTCAGTATAACCGAAAATGATCCTTTTTATTGTGGTTTCAGATAGTCCTGAAATTGGAACTAAAAACAATATTGACAGTTTGTCTAAAATTTGCACGAAAAGCAGTGATTTCAGTTGGATTTCAGCAACAGTTTTACTGGCTACTTAAAACACAGTTTTCAGTATACAGTGAAAGTTATGCTGAATGCACTCAGGCTATTTTCAGTTCATTTTTTGTGTCTTCTGAAATTAGTCCTTTTGGTGATGCTAATTCTCATGCTGAAATCACTGATTTCAGCATAATTTTCAGTTCAAGCTGAAAACAAGGTTTCAGGTACAGCTGAAAACAAGGTTTCAGGTACATAACTGAACATTGTGTTGAAGTCCATGCATCAGAACATCAAGTCCCCCCACAGGGTTCTGATATTGGAATTATTGATACAATTTTCAGTTGCTGTCAGGGGAAACCCTGATGCTGTCACTTGATCCCATCAAGCGCCGCGTCTCCGCTCGCGTCTCCGCGTCTCCGCACCCTGACGCTCTCCCTCCACTGCCTGCACCACATCCCACATCCAGTGATCCCGAGTCTTCGACTTCCCTGGCCACTCCCCTCTGGAAGTCCATCTGGAATCACCATCATGGATCACTAACGCCATCGGAGACCTCTCCGGATGTGGATGCACCACTTCCCTCCGAGACCTTGAGCCTATGGCCTTCTAGCCTCTCCGGGCTGTTACTTATCAAGGTCTCCCTACCATCTCTATCTGCTGGACCTCTTGGGTGTCCCTAACCTATGTTAGCGTTCGGGCTTACGTTCAGATGGCTGAGCTTTGCCATGGCTCCGCTCTCTACTCCGCCACCACGGCCCCCGTCATCGGGTCTTCCCCTGGGTGAGGCCTACTGCCGTTAAGGCTCGTGCCTACTGCAGCGCCCCAGGCTGCACGCCCTCACACCTCCACCTCTCCGGAGACGTCCGGGGACGTCTCCGAGTGTGACGCTGTGGTTCGAGGGGCTTACGCTGGGCGGAAGGGAAGAGAAGAGATGATGATGATAGTCAGACAACCATTGGAATCCAATGTTTGTCCGCGAGCTGACCCGTAACCTACGGCGGGAGGGAGCAGTGGTGCGTACTCAGGCAGTCGGGACGGGGCCGCGAGAAGGGAAAGAGGCGAGACGAAGACGAGACACAAGAAGAATGAGGACTTTGGTTAAGATTGCTGCTGCGTGACTGTGGTCACGTTTACTGTTACAAACTGATGGCTGATGTAATTACTGAAGATCAGGTGATTCTCGATATCTGATAGAGCGATTCTGAGTCGTTAGCCGTAGGTACCGCAGGTATACCCGTCACAGAGCCCCCCACGACGAAGAGTCGTTCATATGCTTCCGCTGTTGTCTTGTGTCCTCCCCAGCACGGATGCTGCCCAAGGAGCCGAGGCTGCTATGCCCTCCAATGTCGTTCTCGATTCCGGGTCATCCACTTCCATTGCCACGTTGTCGACAGAAGAATCCGTCGGTGCCGACCTATCGCGTGACTCCTCCGTAGCAATCGAAGGGGTGCCGAAAGCCGTTAAACCACGGATGGGCTGGAAGCTGCGTCACCACTCCGTCCACGATTATTTGATTCGCCGCGGCCGTCACTGATACGGAAGGGATCGCAGGTTGGAGCATGGGCACAGATTCGCGGTTAGGCTCGTGGGCAGGTCCCCCTATGCTATCCAGGAAAGCCGCCACTTCCTCAGCACTGGGCGCCAACGACGTTGCCGGCAGAGGAGAAGCGAGGTTCAACGGAATCCGCTGTGAATCCTCTACATTCTCATGACCCGGTAGCGTTAGAGTGTGGGCCCCTAGCATGAAGGAAGTTTGGTCGGGCGATAACAGAGAGGGCTCCTCCTCGTTGGTCGCAGAGGATTGCTCAACCATCGTAGGCGCCGTTACATTCACGGAGATTTCGTAAGATCCCAACGCGAAAGGGCCCAGATTCGCGGCGCGCCCCAGCCTGATCTCCCGCTCTATACGACGCCTTTCATCCCTTCTTAGCTTGCCCGGATTATGCTTGGACCGCTTGCGGATCCTCTCCTCCAGGCGTACTCCCAGTCTCGCCGCGAGCGCTGTATCGGGCACCGGAGCGCTATCAACATCCATGGGCGTCTCGGCTGATCCTTGTGACGAGGGTACTGCGGCAGATTGCGGAGGTGGCTGATTTGCAGAGCGTGAATCCGGCCCGGCGTTCGCCGCGGAAGTAGGTCCTGAGGGGCTTGCTGACGCAAAAGGAAGGGTAGTCGTTGTACTGGTGCTGGAAACCTCAAGAGGGAGCGGCGCCTTAGGAGAACTTGACGCCTTTTCTTCCACTCTCGCGGCAGCTGTGGCAGGAATCGATAGCGCCAGGGCAGTTCTTCTGGCCGCCTCACGTTGCAGTCTTCGTTCTCTAACCTGGCGGGATTCCAGCCGGTTAAACGAATCCGTGACAAGACTAGCTAGGGCGTCGAATTGAGTTCGGTCGAGGTAGTTGATCGAGACCCATTGCATCTCCCTTTCCAAGAAACCCATCGCTCTCCTAGCATCGTTTATCGACCCCATTTCCAGTATGACGCTGTTGCCTGCTAGCAAGACCAGCACAATATCGGCGACATTACGAACTCGCTGAATTTCTGCCATGTCGTAGAATTCCTCGGCCGACAGAGCGTCGCTTCCTTTAACCTCCAAACGGAAGGTAGCTGGCTCGGGTTCGGGGAGGTCCGTCCCATGAGGTCTCCGTAGTCCGACTCTTCGTCCCAACCTCCCATATCAGCAGCTATCAGGAGTTTCCCCTTCCCTTTATCCTTTGGAGGACCCTTGTCGTCGTCCTCGTTGCTCTCGTCCCCATCATCTGGTTTCTTTCGCGGTTCCGGCTCGGGTTTCGGACTCCCCTTTCTTGGCAGATATTCAGGGCGAGGGTTCGGGGCCAAGAGTGGCAGGCTGGCTTGCGTTCTCGTGAAGGAGGCTGAGGAGAACATCCAGTAGGAGGGACGGGTTGGCATCCAGTTCCCGTGCTTGTCTCGCACCACATAGTCGCATCTAGGGGCGGGCATTCCGTAGAGGTCCGGACGGACAACGCCAGGAGGGACCTTGTACCCCAGAATGATTAGAGTTTGGCGATGGTCTCGATCGAAGAAGGTACTGGTGGGACCACCGTCTGTCCGAGAACTGCGACCCACCAGCTCCATTCTTTTCCTGTCCCCCTCGCCTATGCCCATGATGAACTTTTGCAGGCTGCCGGAACCCTTCCGCAAATTGATAAGCTCGGGGGGCCGAATCCAGGGCAGTCGGTCCGAGTATAGGTCCACGTAGTCCAATTCAGGTTGTTTGTAGTCGTCCCTCAGAGGATTGCTCGTAACGATTGGTCTCCGACCGTTACTGGGCGTATGCGCGTTGATAAGTTTACTACGACCTATGACATCTCGGTCCCTTCGATTCTCAGGCGAGGGTGACCGGCGGATGGGCTGCGGGTCTCTTGGCTGGTTCCAATCTTCAGCGGAAGGCACGGGATCGCTCCAAGACACGGCACTATCAGGCCAAGGAGACCCCCAACCTCCGGTATCCGTTGGTACGGGGGCCTGGCTAGGAGTCGAGTAGGACGAAGTCCAATTCATTGTTGGATTAGCTGGCCAATCGCTTTTAGGTCGCCTCTGGCTCCAGAAAGGTCGCTGGCCCTCTTCCATGAAGAGGGGATTGGCTCGCTCTTCGCTGATAGGATCTGGCGGGAGCACGTCCAGACTTAAGTCGAGAAGGAATGTTAAGCCTAGCTAGGCTGACTCCGTCTCGGGGATTTCAGAGTATGGGTTGTTCTTGAGCATAGCTAGTGTTTCAGTGTCATCCAAGAATCCGTAGGGACCGGTCGTGCCGGATCTTGGCTGCTTCGTCTTCCGGAATCCGGTAGACTACAAAGCAAGGGATGCCGGCGCGGGATTAGGCGATCGAGAGGCTCTCTAGGGTATCCGTTTGCCCAGAAGCCCATGAATTCCTCCCGAGGGTCAGCGATCTCTCGGTCGGGACCGCGAGCTAAGTCTTCCATGAGAGTATCCATCATATCCGCCCATGCCAGCATTTCTCGGAGGGCGAAAGATAGCTCGGAATATTTGTCGAATATATCCTCCCATGACTGTGGCGTATTGAGAGCCCGTTTCAGAGACCAGAAAGGAGTAACGTCGGGAGGAGCAATTTGCAGGTCGGGCGGGCCAATTCTTCGCGAACGGAAGTCGAGCTGAGCAGGAGTTGATACGGCCCACCACGTAGTTATAACAATCGATCAACCCGTCTATACCCTTGTCGGTTAGAGTGCCGGTTCTTGGGGACATCGGTCTCCAAACTTCCGTTAAAGGGCGAAAGGCGGGGGACCACTTGTCTTCTCGCTTCACGGACGTGGGGTTTCGGAAGAAGGCGAAAACAGGTGAGGAGCGCGTGTAAAGGTATTGGGGTCCCGAACGAGGGTCGAATCTTCCCCAAGTGGAATCATACCGCCGCGCATTGGCATCCAATGGCGGGGTAAGGTCTCCCGGGGGAGGAATGCCAGGAAGAAAAACCGATCGCCTGGAGTTGGGAGACCATAGCTCGTATAGATCATCGATGACTCGGATAATTCGGGTGCTTGTGTTGCTGAAGACTCGAAGGTATCCCAGAGCCATAGACATTTGCACGTTTAAGGCGACGCCATCCCCAAAGCCGGCGAAAGGTCGGAGACGTGGTTGCTGGAAGCGGATGGACGGGTGGTATATTACTAGAGACATATCTGTAGGAAGAAGTCAGCTGAGATCGATTAGCTCGCAGCGTGGCGGAAAGCCAGCGACGCTGCGAGCTTACCGATTTTTTAACGAAGGATGGAGT